CCGCCAGACGGGCCAGCCTCCTCCTCCGCGGCCAGGGGCCTGCGCAGCCGCCCACGCCGTCTGCTGCGCAAGCACAGCCGAGTGGCGTGCGGGGTGTGCACGTCTAGATCTCGCACAGCCACGCGGCGGTAGACAATCAGCACGGCCACGTTCGCCAGGGCAAACGGCGAGAGGCAGGGTGTACTCGCTGATGATGCTAGCGACGAGGAGCCGAAGGTACCACGTTGTGAAAAGCTGCGGCCGAGAAGTGGGAGGCCGTCAGTGGTGGTGTGAGTGAGACGTGCTCCTTGCGCCGGCTCAACGCGCCTCTCTTCGTTAGCGTCAACGTCGACGCGGGAGCCTGGCTGGATGTCGGAGCAGTGCGCATGTCAGGTATGTGTTGTCAGCGCGCGGGTATGGCGTGGGTGCCGTGAGGGTGGGCATGCGCGTGCGACATCAATCACCAGCAGCGTAGCTGCGGGGGAGCGGGCAGGATGCACCATGCGCCACGAGCCACGAGGCAGCTGCGCTTTGACGCTACAGAATGGGAGAGTCCGACAATTGCCCAAATTGCCGTTTACTATTCCGCGCTTTGCGGAATATGCGGAAAGTGCGGAAAACAATGTGCGCGGGCGGAGGGCGTTACAATCCTGCTTCTTTCTTTCTTGGGCTTTAAAATACCCCGTCAGCAGAGTCCTCCTACGTACGTATCTGAAAGTAGCACATACACTGACTGAATGAAAATGTCCATCTGTGTCGAGGGTATCGACTACCTTCCTTGCCCTCTACCTCTGGGATGGGAAGGAGTGAGCCTACCAGGTGGCCTTGAAACAACGGTTTCCGCACCGCCTCGCGCATCTGCTGATGCGGCCCAAGCTTGCCGCGTTAGCACTGCATCCGGCGCGGGCACCCAACGCGCTTCATTGCTGCCCGGTACGACTGTACTGATCTGGCTTGCGCACCAGTGCTGGCAGGCTCACACCATAGTGCTCCCTTGCCTGCTGGTGTAGGCAACAATACCCTTGCTGGCAAGCTTCACCTCGCGAGCTGCCTCGATGGGGTGCCGAGGCATAGAGATTAGAGTCTCGCCTACGCTGCGGCACAGACACCTGATGAGGACAGCATGATACCACATGAATCTGCCCAGTTGCAGCAAATTCTACTGAACAGTTGAGGGCTGGCGAGAGAGAGACCGTTAAGGAGCGCGAAACGCGCGAGGAAGCCGCGGGCTGCGGGCTCATATACAAGAAGAAAAAGTTGAAAACGAGACTCCTTGTTATCCATAAAAGAGCCACATACATGATATGTCAACCGGCGCACATGCGACGAGAGCGGGCGCCGTTTTTCATTGCCTATTCTAACGAGACACAGAGCAGCGGCACGGGCGTTGCCGATCGAACACGGATTGCTGAGGGCCATGCACAATTCGTGCGGTTATGGGCTGCCACTGCAAAACATGCAAACGACAGGCCACGCCACGTGCGCCACCATATCCAGCTGCGCAGCGGCAACGACTGCCGAGGCGCAGGCCGAGCCGCAGCCTACCCGATGCCCCGCCGACATGCGGCATTGGCCAAAATGCTGGGCATCTCAGGTTAAGGAAGGCAACTTGAAATAGCAAGGAGCATCCTAGAATGCAAAGGGGTAACTCCAGATGCTAGCGCATTCACGAATGCAGTTCGCATTCCAGGATGGTCGACGCATCCTGGAATGCGTGGACCATTTTTGGAATGCGGTGTGCATCTTGAAATGCGAAAAGTCAACTCGGCATTCTGAATTGAAAAACGCAATCTAAATTGATTTTTTGCAACTCAAAATGCCCTCAGCATCTCAAATTGCGGGTTCCCCGCCCCTGACGAGCGCTTGATGGAAGCCCCCAAGCATCCATGGAGATCCCCCAGGGAGAACCCCCCGGGCGAGCCCCCCCAAGGAGTCCCCCCAGGGAGACCACCCAGGGAGACCCCTCAGGGAGACCCCTCGCGGCAAACGGAGTCACGGCTAGATAAGAGGGTCCGCGTTTCGCCATCACAGCCGATTAGCGGACGCCTAAAATCGGCGACGAACTATGAGCACCCCCCCCGATGCCGCCTGGCTTGACGCTCTCCTGGGCGCGACCGACGGCGTGGCGATCCCGCCTCAGTCGCAAGGTCTTGGCCCAATCGCGCTCAGTAAGATGTACCGTGACGCAGCCATGCAGGAACAGGAGTCATTGGCACTCGCCGCCGAGTCACCGAAACGCCGACCTGAGTCCGAGATGCTCTCGGCAGTCCCCAAAGATGGCGAAGACGTCTGTCTCGCAGACGCACGTCTCGACTCCCGCCGCGGCCTCGCTGCCGGGCACCATAACGCCGGCAACGGAGGGCGGTGCTTCAGGTGCGGCCGGGCGGGCCACTGGTCCCGCGACTGCACCCACATTGCAATGGCCATGACCGCTCGCATGTCCTCGCCCTGCCACGTCTGCGGCGGCATGATCAACCCCACCTCCGACCGCATCTGCCGGCTGAGCGTCGGGCCGTACGCGGGCAGGTGGGCGCACCACAGCTGCGCTCTTAACCATCTCGTCAGCCTCGGCTTTATCACCGCGGAAGACGCGAGCAACGTGGAGATCTGAGCCCGCCCTGCCCTCGCTCAGTGCTTACCCCTCCTTTCCAGTGTCTCCCCCCCCCTGCCCTCTGCCTGAGGGAGGGTGTAGAGGATGTGGGAGTGTAGAGCGCTGTAGAGCTGTAGAGATGTAGAGCGCTTGAGAGCGCTGTAGAGCTGTAGAGCTCTACATCCGCCGCGGGACAGAGCGATGCAGATGTAGAGCGATGTAGAGGCGCTCTACAACGTGAAATCTCTACAACAAACTCTACATCATAAGCGGCGAACGAGGCACGGTCGCTCTCCGACATGAGGCGCGTTGCACTTGCCAGTGCTGCCCTGGCCTTCTGTCTGCCCGCCCAATGGGTGGCAGGTGCCTCTGCTGCTATGGCATGCCTCACGGCTGCGACTGGCCGGCGCCTCGGCGCGTCAGCTCGGCTCGGCGTAGCGATCGTGGCCAGCGCAACTCGCCTGGACTCAACGCTCAGGGCTCAGCCAGAGGAGCTCCCGCACGCGCTGGCGCGAGGCATGGCGCATGCAACGCGCAGCAATGCTCGCCTCGCCTCGCGCAAATGCGACCGTCCTCGCAGCCGACAGTCCACCGCCTGCTAAAGTGTAAAGGAAGCACTGCGACGAATGCGGCACCGGCGACGCATGGCAGGCTGGTCATGACGCAGTCATAGGGTGTTGTGTGCCGTCAGAGTGACTCTCTGTGTGTCAGGGATAGTCAGAGCCGTCCATCAGAGCTCCAGCAAGCTCGGAGACACCCCACTAGTGCGGCTCGACCTCTTTGAGTCACTGCCTTCCCGGCGGGTTTGCTGTAGAGCCTCTACAACAAGCTCTACCTACGTACCCCAGGGAACCTAGGCACCTAGCCAAAGCAAAGTCTCACTTTGGCACTGGTGCGTAGGTAGTAGTTCACAGCCAAAGCCCAACTTTGGCACGGCCTCGTTCACAGCCGAAGTCCAACTTTGGCTCGGTATCTTGCGGCCTCTCTGCGACGTTCAATGTACATGCAGATGCGGCCGTCCGCTCGTGAGACATCCGCGTCCCGCCGTTATGTCTCTCACCGCTGTAGCTCAGTGACCGCAACGATCTTCTGATGAACGCACGCGACCTGCTCAGCGGTGCGTGCGGCGGCGGCCTGGCCGTCTTGATCTCGCAGCCCATCGATGTCGTGCGAGTGCAGCTCCAGACAATGCCGGGGAGCAGTAGTGCCGTCGCCACGGCACGCACGCTCGTGCAGCAGCGCGGCATCCTCTCTCTGTGGCGCGGCACAACGCCGCCTCTGCTCGGAGCCGGCCTCCTCATGAGTGTGTTTCGCACCACGCAGCAATCGACAAGCCGCGTATTTGGAGAGGACGGTAGCTTTGTCAAGTTTGCAGCGGCCGGCGCGATCGGCGGCTTGGCTCAGGCGCCCCTCGCGGTGCCCGTCGAACACCTCAAGGTGAGGCTGCAGGTGTGCCAAGCCCAGTGGTGCAGCTGCGGCATCGTTCCCCTCGCGAGGCACATTGTGAGCGTGGCTGGCGTCGGTGCTCTCTGGAGAGGGTGGGCGCCGACAGTGATGCGAGACGTGGTGAGCACGCCGTCCCCTCGCCGCCGACGCGTGACGCGCCTTTCCTCACCAGCCCATCGTCCCCTCGCCGGCGCAGATTGGATTCGGCCTGTTCTTTGGCTGCACCGACTACGTGCTCGCTCGCACCTCCCCCACCGGCCGGCGCGGCGACGCCAGCTTTGTCGCGAGCTTCGCCGCCGGCTGCGGTCTGGGTTGGACCTTCTGGGTGGCGTCCTTCCCGCTCGACGTCATCAAGGCGCGGCTGCAGGGCGACTCGCTGCTCAAGCCAGCCTACACGGGCGTGCTCGACTGCCTGCGGCAGACTGTGCGCGCGGGCGGCGTGGGGACGCTGTTCAACGGCTTTGCGCTGACCGCCATCGGGTTTGCGACGCCAAAGAATGGGGCCAAGCTGCTCGGCTTCGACCTGGTGTCGCGCTGCCTCCCGGTGTGATGGGTGGTGTCGCGCTGGCTCCCGGTGTGATGGAGGCGCTGCTGCGTCCGGTTGGAGGCGCTTCACCCTCTGCGTCCTCTCCGTCACGGAGACGCTGCTGCGTTTTCTCATTCGTGTCGCAAACTGCCCGTGCCCGCGCCAGTCCCAGCGTCACATGTCACATGAGTTTTCTCCGTTTCTCTTCTTCTGCGGCGCTCTTTCTCGCGTGGCAGCCGCGGGGGCGGTGAAGGGGTCCCATGCAGTCGCTGGATGGGGCCACACTGTCATATGTCCCGCCTCTCGGGGTACGGCGCCCTCGGTGTAAAGCGCGTACGCGGTACGGCCAGGTTTCCAACTTTTTCCGGGGTATGGTATGGTAGCCTCGCGGCCCAAAGGGTGGGGGGTATGGTCCTGACCGCCCATCCCCGGTCTCCGGGAGGCTGGGTCTGTCAGCAGGCGGGGGGTTATGGTCTCGAGGTGGGTTGCGCGTCGCACCATAATACCATACCCCGCAGAAAGTCCAAACCGCTGGGCCTAACGCAGCGAGCCGTCTTATCACCAGGTTGCAACCGTAGTCTCGCACTGTGCTGTGAACGCTGCTGGTTGGCGTCGGCTGCGCAACACCGCCCGTCCCCATCCAGGTTGTTGGTTGCTGCCCCAGGTCCTGCACTATGTAGTGCAATGCCCCGTTCCCTGGTCATGCTTGTTCGGGTACGAATACGTGTTTCGTCCGTCCCTGCCTGTGTCCGTCCACGGGGGCGCCTGCTGCCGGGCCCCTGGCGGCCCGCCACGTAGGTGCGACGTGCCGCCGAAAATCGCATCAAACGACGTTCACAGCTCTTCGGCTCGCTCCGCTCGCCGGCCCCCCGGCGCGAGTTGGTTGCTGGCAGCACCCCAGCGCCGGGTCCTGATAGCTGCTGGTTGCCGCTCTGTTCGCAGTGTGTGTTGTGTGTATGTCGCTCGCCCTCCAAGGCTCCTCCCGCCGCGCGGTGGAGGCCATGGTTGGCGGCTCTCTCGCCGTCGCTGCCGGCGCGCTCGTGCTGCGCGCGAAACGTGCCGCTCGCTGCCTGAGCGCCGCGACGGCGGCCGTCGAGCCTCCGCCCGAGTCGCTCACCGGGTACAGGGCGGCGGTTTTCAGCCTGAGACCGTCCAGCTTCGGCCATCCCGCCGGCGAGGCCGACGCCCGCGCCATGGCCGACGCCCGGCTCGTCATCGTCGGCGAGATCCACTCGATACCTCCGTGCGTCGAGCTGCAGTGCCGTGCCGCGCTGGCCATGCTCGCGTCGCTCGAGGCGGGCGGGCGCTTGCACGTCGTGCTCGAGCACCTCAACTTTGAGCAGCAGCCGCTGCTCGACGCGTACGCCGCAGGCACGCTCGAGATGGCAGCGCTGCTGGAGCAGTACAGCGTGGGCACGGAGGGGCACGACCTCGCGCCGTATGAGCCGCTGCTCCGCCTCGGGCGCGATCACGGCGCGCTGCAGCTCCACGCGGGCTTCATCCCGCGCAGCTACGCCAAGATTGTCATGCGCGAGTCCAAGGAGGCGGCCATCGAGGCGGCCAGGGCCCAGGGCTACCTCGCCAAAGGCGAGACGCTCGACGGCACCGAGGAGCACTACTCGTTCTTCGAGTCGCTGCTCACGCATCGGCCGCTGCACGCGCAGCCGCCGCTCCCGCCGACGGACAAGTTCCGCCGCATGTTCCCCGCGCAGCTCATCAAAGACGCCGCGATGGCGCACAAGGTGAGCCGGCTGCTCGCTCCGCAGGGCGAAGGCGGGGCGGACAAGGCGCTCGTCGTGTGCGGCGTCGGCCACTCGGGCTACTCGCACGGCGTGCCGGAGCGGATCGAGCGCGCGCTGCCGTGGCTCGCCGGCCGCTCCTTCCGCGTGTGGTGCCTGCAGGTGCCGCCGCCGCCCCTGCTCGACCGCCCGCCTCGCACAGTCCGCGACGCGTGTCCGCTGCGCGTCCCGCAGGCGCACGAGTCCGCCGACCTGCGCGGCGCGGAGCCGGTGCGCGAACTGCTCACCGACGCGTTTGGGGAGTCCGCCTTTGCGGCCGACGTCGCCTCGCGGCCGGCGGAGCTCTGCCTCGCCTTTTGCGAGGCTCCGCCGCCGCCGCCGCCGCCGCCCGCCGCCGAGGGCGGCGACGAGGCGGCCAAGGCGGCGACGGCGGCGGCGTACAACGCCGTCGGCAGCACGGCACACCTGTCTGGGGACGGGCTCAAGGCGAGCCTGGTGATGAGGCGGCTCGGGTACACGCCAGAGCAGGTTGCGTGCGCGGGCGCAGACGCGCCCAACTTCCAGGGCGTCGCGTCGCCGCACACGCTCGCCGCGCTGCAGCCGGGCGAGGCTGTGGTGGACCTCGGGTCCGGCCTCGGCGTCGACTCCTTCATCGCGGCTGCGGCCGTCGGAGAGGCGGGGCGCGTCACCGGCGTCGACATCGCCGCGTCCGAGGTGCGGCACGCCACTGCGCGAGCGCGCGAGCGCAGCCTCGACGGGCGCGTCAGCTTCGTCGTCGGCGACCTCGAGCGGCTCCCGCTGCCCGCGGCCTCGGCCGACGCCGTCATCTCCAACGGCGCGTTTTGCCTCGCTCCGAACAAGCCGAAGGCCTTCGCAGAGGTGTGGCGCGTGCTGCGCCCGGGCGGCCGGTTCGCGATCGCAACCTCTGTCGTGCTGCGCCCGCTCGAGGAGGGGAAGTGGCCGCTCTGCATGCGCATGTTCTCCGAGCTGAGCTCGCTGCAGCCGATCGCGACCAAGGCCGGCTTCGCGCGCGTCGCCATCGACACGTCCGACATGGCGATGGCCTTCGAGCTGGAGGCGCCCGAGGGGGAGGCGCCCGAGTCGTGGGCGTCGTCGGCGTCGAAGCAGCGCAACCAGGTGCACGTCGGCAGCGCCGAGTTCTCGCACCTGCAGGAGCTCGACATGAACTCCATCTGCGGGCGAGTCGTCATCAGCGGGGTCAAGCCGTGAGCGTGTGAAAGCGTGTGGGTCCGCACGTAGACGTGTGATGCAGTGAGAGTGCTGCTCGGGGGGGCGTTATTCTGTGCATGTGTTCGAATTATTTTTCTGTGTGCCGGTGTTCACTAGTCCGCGCCACAATGCACAAATAAAAAAGGTCCGACAGGTTCGGCACCGGGCACCGCCTCGGTATACAAAATGCGCCTGCGGGCGGACCCTTAAAGATAACGATCACAAATAAAAAAGCAAGAGAATTACTAGCGTTAGCCGTGTCCGAAACAGAAGCTAGCGCAGATGAGGGCAGGGCAGACCCGGGGACGGCGGAGTCGGAGCAGACGGCATCGGCCGCCGAGGAAACGTTGGGAAGAGGCACGAGGAGGGCGGCGACCTCGACCGACTATGGAGGACCCGTCACCAGACGACGCAGGGCAGACGACGGGGAGGCGGAGCAGACGCGCAGGGCGAGACGAGGGAGGGAGCAGGACGTTGCGGAGATCAGCAGGAGGATGTACGACGAGATTAGGAGCAGCAGGGACCCGAGGGACCATGTGGAAGACGGCTAGTGCTAGTCCCCCATCGGGAGGACGACCCCGGCTAGTCGCCGACCACACCCACAAAGAACCCTGCACAAAGACCGCAGGGCGGGGACCTGTTCCTTTTTACCCATCTCCTAGTAGAGGTGTCCGTTTTTATTTATTGTCGCCCATCTCTCCCTGGAGATGACTGCTCTATTTATTTATTTTATGCTCCGGTCGCTAACCTGTGTGGTGGCGGCGTGCCGTCCTCCCATCCCTCCCTTGGGTTGTCTGTTTTCTTTCTTTCTTTCTGCTCCGGTCGCTAGTCGAGAGAGATCGCCAGTGGAATAGGGAGTCCACCGTGCTGCGAGCCTGTCGCTGTCCCTTGTCAGGAAGGAGCAGGAGAACTAGGAGAGCGCAACCAGTAGGAGGCCCGCGCCTGCCCCCGTGCCGCCGGGTGCAACCTGTCCTATACGAGAGAGGAATCCCTGGGACCCTGTCGTGTGGGTGAACCCTGCCCAGCCCCCCTCCGTGTCGATGCGCTCCCCACTCCCTTTCCCCTGTGTCCCTGATCGTCCTTACAAGATCCTGCTCGTGCAGGTGGGGACCCTGTCCTTCTCCCACCCCTCCGTTTGGCGTGCCCGTTTTATTTATTTCTTGGTCCACACATGGTCCCTCGGGTCCCTGCTGCTCCTAATCTCTTCGTACATCCTCCTGCTGATCTCCGCAAAGTCCTGCTCCCTCCCTTGTCTCGCCCTGCGCGTCTGCTCCGCCTCACCGTCTTCTGCCCTGCGTCGTCTGGCGACGGGTCCTCCATAGTCGGTCGAGGTCGCCGCCCTCCTCGTGCCTCTTCCCAACGTTCCCTCGGCGGCCGATGCCGTCTGGTCCGCCTCCGCCGTCCCCGGGTCTGCCCTGCTCTCTTCTGCGCTAGTTTCTGTTTCGTCATCACTGGCGTCCCTCCTCTTCCTTCTCCCCTTCTTGTATGCTTTGCACACGTCTCGACCCGTCGTTTCAACCTGAAGGCCCGATTGCCGCGAGGATGCGGAGCAAAGAAAGAAAGAAAGAAAACAGACAACCCAAGGGAGGGATGGGGAGCAGAAAGAAAGAAAGAAAGAAAACAGCCAAGCCAAACGAGGGATGGGACGAGGACAGGGTTGTTTGAACTTTCGTTTGCACTTTTTTGTTTATTTTTTAGGGTGGTCCCCACCTGCACGAGCCGGATTTTGGAAGAACGATGGGGAGCAGAAAGAAAGAAAGAAAGAAAACAGACACGCCAAACGAGGGATGGGACGAGGACAAGGTCCCCACCTGCACGCGAGCAGGATTTTGGAAAAAGAAAGAAAGAAAGAAAACAGACAACCCAAGGGAGGGATGGGAGGACGGCACGCCGCCACCACACAGGGATTTTAAGGAGAGGTGTGTGGTGCGCTAGCCGTCGCCCACCCTAGGGAGTCTGCCTCTTCCTATAGGATTTTGGAAAGAAAGAAAGAAAGAAAACAGACAACCCAAGGGAGGGATGGGAGGACAGCAGTCAATCAATGGGCGTGAGAATTCTTTTGCTTGCGTGTGTGTCTTACCGGCGGAGCGGCCTGCAGCTTTGTGCTTCATGCTGCTGCTAGTGGTCGGCTCGGCGCACGGCTTTTCGGTCGCAGGCCCATCGGCTTCGACTCGGCATCGACGCCTGCGCTCGCCGCTCCTCTCCGCTCCGGCCTCGCAGCTTTGCACCGCAGAGGAAACGGTGGACGGCACGCAGCCGCTTGCGAGAATTTCGGTGTGCCAGTACGACCACCTGCACTTTTTCGTCGACAAGCTGCAGCCACTCTCGCACTACAAAGCCATCGAGGACCGGCTGAATGAGTTTGCAAAAGTCAACGCGACCGGCTCCGCCGATGACGTGGGCGCCGCACGCGAGGCGTGGCTCGCGTTGGGCCCATCCGCGGACCCGGCGGCGTTCCAGGTGCACGGCCGCGACCTGGTGGAGCAGATGCTGTATGCCTTTGGCTGGCGCATCACCGCACAGCACGAGGGCCGCGAGACGCGCTCGCTCCTCCTCTCGACAGTCGACCCGCACGGCGCGCGGTTCGTCGTGACGTGCCGCAGCGAGGCTGGCGGCGCCGGCACAGGGCCTTCGCCCGCATGCGCCGCGGAGCCGGACCACTTTGCCCGTTCGCACCTCGAGAGGCACATGTCGTCGCACGGCGGCGCGCAGGGGGTCGGCGTGCTCGGCTTCGAGGTGGAGCGGGGCGAGCTGGAGGCTGTGGTCGGGCGGTACGAGGCGCTGCACCCGAAGCTGGTCGCCGGCCCGCCCCTCCTCCACCCGGACGGCACGCGCGTCTTCGAGGCCTTCGCCCTCGTCGCCGGGCGAGCCCTCGCCCAGACGGCCCCTTCCCTGACCCTTCTCGGACCCTTCCCGCAGGCCTTCGCCTACTACCAAGGTGAGCCCGGCTCGGAGCCCGACGTCGGCACACGGCTCCGATTTGTGGAGCGGCCAAGCGAGGCGGAGGGGGCGGCGGAGGGGGCGGCGGAGGGCGGGGAGGGCGGGGCGGGCGGGGCGGGCGGGGCGGCTCTCCCGCTGCCCGGGCTCGAGCCGGTGGCTGCTGCCTTCGAGGCGGACGCCGCTCCGGCGTACTGCGACCACTGGGCGAGATGAGGGCCTCGGCCGGCTGGCTGGTCGAGGGGAGGCAGCACCGCCGACCGCCGCGAGCGCGCTCGAGTAGGTGAGCAACGTGCGGTCGCGCGTCGGCTTCCTGCGCACGCTCGAGGAGACGCTCGGCTTCACGCCAAAGGCGGGGGCCTCTCCTGGCAGGCGTGGCGCTGCTCGGGCTCCTTGCCTCGACCCTCCTCGCAGCCCTTGCCGCAGGTCGACTTCAACGCGGGCGTGGTCGCGGCGGGCGAGGCCCAGATCGAGTCCACCGTCACGGGCAACACCTCGCCCCTCCTCACCGCCGACCCGCAGGTGCGGGGTGGTGGCCGGCCCCGCGCCGCGAGGAGACACGTCCAGGACGCGTCCGCGCCTCGTCCCCGCAGGCGGTGCTCACCGACCGCGCCCAAGTCTTTCTGCCGACCAACAACGCGCTGAGCCCGGTGGGGCACGTGCACTGGTACCTCGAGGAGATCGGGCAGGGCGTGCAGCACGTCGCGTCGCGCGTCGCCTCGCTGCCCGCCTACGTGCAGCGCGCCAACCGGATGCGCGCCGTCACCGGCGAGGGAGTCACCTTCCTCAACATCCCGCGCACGTACTACGGGCTGCTCGAGCCGGAGTCGCTCGTGAGCGTCGACACGGAGCTGCGGCGCGACGGCTGCCCCTCCGGCCTCGCCGAGCCGCTCGCGCTTGAGCTCGTCGCCGCGTTGCGCGCCGCAGGCCCTCCTCGCGCCACGCATGTGGGGCGAGCTGCAGGGGGCACTGTCCGTGACACGTCCACGCCCGTGCCCCGCACAGGCCTCCTCGACGCTGCGGGCGCGCTCAGCCTCGACGCCGACGCGGCGGCCATCGACGCGGCGCTTGGCGGCGTGGTTGGCTACCGTGACGCACCGGCGGCGACGCGGGAGATGGTTGGGCGAGTGGTGTGCCGCAGCGTGTACGTCAACCTGTGGAAGCTGCTCGGGCCTCAGCTCTCCGAGGCGACCTACCTGAGCATCGTGCGCAACCAGATTCTGATCGACGTGCAGGGTGAAGTCGGGTGGGGTGGGCGCGGGGGCGGGCGCGGGGGGCTCGGCAGCTCACGCGCGCCTGCCGCGAGCAGGCGAGGACGTGCTGCTGCAGATCTTCACGAGCGTGGTGCTGCAGCGAGAGCCCGGCACCGAGGCGCCCTTCCTCGAGTTCATACAGCGCGTCTGCGCAGAGTGCCGCGGCGCGGGCGGCGCGCCCCAGCCGATCCGCCCCGGCTGCGGCGGCTTCGGGATCCGCAACTTTTTGACCCTCTTCCTCTCGATCGAGGTGTGGCGGCGGCCGCCTCTCTCCCTCGCGAGGCGGCTCCCGGCGCGCCGACGACCGAACCCCCTCTGCGCTCCTTCGCCCGCAGGTGAGCAAGGCGATGCTCGACAGCGAGCGGGCGGCCGAGCAGGGGCGCGACGCGGAGGCGGCCTTCCACCAGCGGCGCGTGAGGCTCTTCACCGACCAGCTCGTCGAGGCCAACCCGGTCCTCACAGAGATCTCCGACTGCATGACGGCCGAGGGGAGGGCCCTCGACGCGGGCGATGCGGACGCGGCGGCGGAGTGGGGGCGGCGCAAGGACAGAGCAAACCTCGCGCTGGCCGAGTGCTCGCAAAAGTACAATCGGCTGATGGGCGAGTTGCGAGAGGAGGGGTGGGGCGACTCCGACAGCGCGGCGTAGGCTCTTGTGCTTCCAGTAGATCAATGATGGCTCGTCTTTCCGTTGCGGGGTGTGTGGAAAGACCTAAATATCTTTCCCATCGAGATAGTCGCCGGTTAGTCGACACACGACACAGCGGAGCTCCACGCAGTCGCACACGCAGTCGCTCACACAAAAAAACAAACTGCTCACTCGTGGTCGTCGTGGAGTCTGGACGAGAGAGGAGCGTGCGTCTGTGCGAGTGGGAGGTGGGAAGGTCGTAGGTCGAAAGAGATAGTCGGGAAATGAGCGTATCCTCGAAACACAATAACTCACATCATATTCACATAACTTGTGCACACCCACACGCGTCGTTACAGTATGTGCCGGCTAGGAGTCCGAGTGCCTTGCGGCAATGTACAAGGAGTAACCTCCACGATCTCGCGAGACCATCGCCCCCGGTAAAGAGCACTCTTAACTGCGCGAGTCCGCACACGCTAGGCAAGGGACCGGCCGCCGCTGATTTTCTCCCTCTGCACACCTGCTCGCAATGCCTCCAACACGTGCAAGCTCTGCCGGTACGCAGAGGAAGTTGCGGCAGCCCTTGTTTCCGCAGGTCTCGCGCACCTCGTGCATCGTGTAGTTGAAGCTGTGAATGAAGAGCTTCAGCTGCCGGAAGGCGCGCCTCTCGCTAGGTTTATCACTAGGGAAGGCCTCCGCCGTGAACAAGGGGCGAGTCTGCGAAAGGGTGCGCTGCATACCGCGAAGGATGCTCAGCTCGTGGCCCTCTGCATCAAAGTGGGCGAACGCCAGCGCTTGCCCGCGCTCGAGCAGCAGACTGTCCACGGAATGTGCCGTGATGTTGTTACGCCTGCGTCCGAACGTTGGCTGCAGGTCCGACCCAGTCACTTGAGAGAGCACGCCGGCGCGAAACTCGCGGCCGAGCGGATACGAGAGCGCGCCGCTGCTCTCGGACAGCACTCCCCGTAGAATGACTGCGTTTTGAAGCCCGGCGGTCAGCTCGAGAGCGCGCTTCACATTCACACGTGTGGGCTCTACGCCCACGACCGTGTGCCGCCGAAACTCACGAGCCAGCATCGCAGTGCTCGATCCGTCGTTGGCTCCCGCGTCGAGGATCATGCCCGATGGTGGCATGTACGCCGATAGCAGTCGGATGCACTCCCACAGCAGTGGTTCGAGCCCGCTCATAGAGGTAGCGGTTGTTGGCTCGTTGGCCAGGGCGCCCGCCGGGGATTGGCCCAGCCAGCTGCACAACAGAGAGGTGAAAAGAATTTTACAAAACCGCGCCCTCGCACAACACTGGGCACGGGACTGGCGCGCACTGGCACTAACACAGGTGAAAAGAATGTGCGGCCAATTCTTTCCGCCGCCGCGCTTGCGCCCACGCTTCCCTAACCTGGCCCCTGATCTGCGCAGACGGGAGACGGCGCGCTCTGCCGCAGACAGAGCAGCGGCCGCCCAGGCGGTCGCTGCGGCCGCCCAGGCGGTCGCTGCTCCGCCCGTCCGAATCCGTCCGTCCGCGCGTGCCGCTGCCGCCGCCACCGCCGCTCCACCCGGTCCCCGTGTGTCGTGAGAGTAATGCTTTGTGCAGATGGCACCGGCGTGTGTGTGACTTGTCACTTGAGCCTCTATCTAGTGGTTAGTGATTTTTTAAAGAAAGAAAACAGACAACCCAAGGCAGGGATGGGAGGACGGCACGCCGCCACCACACAGGGATTTAAGGAGAGGGGTGTGATGCGCTAGCCGTCGCCCACCCTTGGGCGTCCGCCTCTTCCTATCTCTCTTCGCAGTCTCTCGCCGATTCTCGCTGCAACCTTCATGCCACCTCGCGGTCGTCCCACTCTCTTCGTTCTCTCTCTTGTCGCTTCTTCCTCTGTCGCGTCGCTCTCCTCTGCCTCGTTCTGCGACGGCGCCGCCGCCTGCCGCTCCGTTGCTCTCGCTTCTTCTCCCGCCTTTCGTCGCAGCTCTGCCCTCCTCGCGGCATATTTTGGCCCGCGCGTCTCAGGAATGCGGCTGTGTCTTTTGAGTCAGGCGCCGCCCGTTCGACTCTTGCTGCCGCCCTCGCCGTGTGTTTGTCAAGCTTCCGCATGAAGTGACGCGCCTCTTCCTTATTTCCAGCGCATTTGCCGCTCAGTAGGTGCGCCAACGACGCCTGTGGTGGCTCACTGTCAGCTCACTGTCATCTGTCTTCTTGTGTCCAATCGTCCCAGTCTACGGCGCAACTCTGCCCTCCTCGCTGCATATTTTGGCCCCTCGAGTTTATCGAGCTCTCCTCGCGCAAGGACGACTCTTCTGCGTGATTTTGACCGCGCAAGATATAAAGGGTGGCTAAGGGCTCTGCCCGCAAGGCGCCCGCGTCGCAGACGCGGTACCATTGACAAATCTGCAATATACCCCCACACGAACAAATAGCAAAATCCGAATACCGTGCGGAAACCATGTGATGTGGGCCGTGCAAGCCTTCAGCTGGTGCCAAGACAACGTAAAATTGAAGCCACGAACGTCCGCCAAATCCGTGCTAGGGAAAGCTGATCGAGCCCAGCGTGCCCGCGGCCGCCTCCCGCGCAGCACCGCCGCTGGGGACGACACGCTGCGGAATCGGATCGAGCCCATGCACGGGCAAAGAAGGACGCTGCAGAAGCGGTTGGAGAGGCAGCTGACGTCTGCCGTCACAACGAGTCCCAGCGCTGGTTGGACATGCGCGTCGGCTCGCCCGAGGACTGCTGTCGCGACCCTCCCGTCGTGACGCAGCCTCCGACGAGCTCTGCAACCGAGGAGAGTGAGGGTGCGCCTCCCCTCACTGCTGGCCTGGCTGCGCACCGCCCCACTAAGCACCCCCTCGAGCATCTCTACAAGCACAAGTACAAGGGCGACCTTCTCCAAGTCGTCAACACGCCCGGCGGCTCCGGCAAGACTTTAGCCTTGGCCACCCTCCTTGCGGAGTAGGAGGAGATCCGCTCTCGCCGTCGGCAACGTGGCAGCTAGTCGAGAGACTCGGTAGTTGTGACCCCCCTCTGTGCTCTGAGTGAGGACAGGAGAGAGAGAGCTTTTGAGAGTGGTGTTGGTGTACGCAATAACGGGACAGGGTAGTCGTTCTCTCTAGCTCCCCTTCTAGCTCTTAGCATGAGCTGCGCCCTGTGTCCGACCCCTTTTGCGCAGCAACACCTTAAACTTTTAGGCCCTCCAAATTCGGGTCGGAGCGCAGCGGAGTGGGCCCCGAGTTTGAAAAGGGCGACGGACGCTTGCGTCCTAGCCTCCAACAACGCCTCCCCGGCGCAGAGGGGCCCCCGGAGGGATGCTCAACCGCTCCACGCCACGCCGCTTGCGGCGGTCCTATTCCCAGCTCCGCTGAGGGCCCGCGCGTTATTCGTGAATAAAATTCTTTCCGCAGCCTCGCGCGCGCGCCAAGGGCTTTGCGCGGCTCCCGGCACGGGCGCTCGATGCCGTCTGCCAGGGACGTCAACAGAGCCTGGCCGCTCGGTACGGCCTGCGAGTTCAAGTGGGGTGACAAGTGGCACCGCGCCATCTCGAATGGCGTCGTCGGCGGTCGCCTCGAGTTGAAGGAGGTGCGCGAGCGAGCAGTGACGCCGCTGCCGCTGCAGGAGGCTGCACGCTCCGTTGTGGCCAAGGGCACGCACCTTGAGTGGACGCTCAAGGATGAGCGCAAGATTGGAGCGCCGGTGGCGGCGAAGCGGGAGCTAGCGCCCGTGCCTTCCGAGCCGGTGAAGGCAGCCAAGCGTGAGCCGCCAGCGGAGGCCAGCGCCTCGGACGCGCAGCCCGAGGGCAGCTCGCACGCGCAGCCCGAGGCCGGCTCGCGCAAGCAGCCGAAAGCCAGCTCGCGCAAGCAGCCTGCTCCAGAGGTCAGCGAGTCCGCACCCAAGCGGGCGCGCAAGCAGCCCGCGGCAGCTCCTCCGGCTTCGCGCCCGGCGTGCATCAGCCTGCTGACTGGCCGCCCGCTGGCGCCCAGCGACGCAGAGTTGCGGGTGTGGGAGTCGCCAGCTGGTGGCAAAGCTGCCGCGCTCCGCGGGCGGGAGCTCGACTGCCTCCGCCTCATCGGCTCTGTCCACCTCTCCTTCGAGGTCAAGCCCGACGCGCCCGGGAACCTGGCCGAGGCGCTCGGCGTCCACAGCGAGAAGCCGCGCATGCGCCGCCCGCGAAAGAGGTGGTACACCGCGAAGAGAAACTGCAGCAGCGCGGACCTGCCCTACGTGAGCACCGAGCCGTGGTGCGAGCTGACGGGAGAGCTGGCGGGGC